AATATCCGGCATGCGCCGATCAAAATTCTGGATCGACATAAAAAAGGAATAAGCAAAATAAAACACTTGCAACAACATCCGGCATGCGCCGACCAACACCAATTGCTSACACAGGTAGAAATAGGGTATATTTAAGAGAGAATAAGTAGAATTAATTTTAGTATTAATGTTTTGGTGATTCAATAAAGGTCTTGCGACCAACAAAAACATCTTTTTTTTAGACTTGTACAATACAAGTCGATAACTTGCATATTCGCATTATTTCGTTATCATTTCCATGTTGGTAGCAATAGAATTTCTATGGCATATATGTACATATATTACTTCTTTGGCACATTTGTCTGTATGTTTACGAATGCAAATGCGAGCCACATACATATTTACTAGTGCCGCACACATCTCCCTTGTCACGGTCAACCAATGGCCGAAGCTCACATATTGTCAAAGAGTCATCACAACGTTGTGTTGTTGGTAGAAATTCCGAGCTGTGCCGAAAGAAACTAACAAACGATCGCCGATTGTTACCGCTTCCCTTGCCGCTGTAACAGCTTCGCCCACAAACTAGCGTAAATATGTAAACATATGTATGAGCTTGCATACTTTACGTTCTCTGCTTATACTCGTCAAAGTGAAAGAAACAGTTGGAATAAAATATTCTTCGATTTTGCCTTTTTTCACAAAGTGACATAACAACGGCGTTATAAAATTTTGTGCTGGCTCTTTTGAGATAATGTATCTGAAGCATTTCCTTATTGATTTATTACACTTTTCTTAGTTTTCTATATAATGCGGTTATCGTCTGATTTCACCATCAGCAGGTTTGGTTAAAATGGTTTCAACCTATTATACCATATTAAACCTATTAAGGTGCGGAACCCCCTTTTGAAAGATTTTAAATCTCAAGTACGCGTTCCATTCTTATCATAATTTGTGATTTAGTTAAAGCACTTCACAGGTTTTCTTATGTTGTAGGCGAGAGAATGCTTCGATTTTGCTAATCTGCAATACAAACCTTCTTATTTTGTCAAGTAAGTATGCATACTTTATTGCGATTAGTTTTAGGTGAATAAAACTATTAAGCTCTGTAGCAACATGTTGTGTGTTATACAATATTTTCTTTAATTGTTGCATTTTAATATCTTTCAAATAAAGAAATCAAAACTAGTGTTGAAACTATACAAAAACAAGTAAGAAAGGGCTAAGTTCGGGTGCAACCGAACATTTTATACTCTTGCAACTTGAGGTGTAGTAACAATCATATAGAATAAAGTCAACCGGATGTTCGAAGATCCTGATATTAGTTATATAGGGGCTAGGGCAAGATTTTGCTCCAATTCAATTATTTTTGGCACAAAGATACACGGTTATTTGTAAAACACAAGTTACCAAATTTTGTCGAAATCGGTCAATGAGATCCCGAGATATGGGATTTCGTCAAAACGTGAGCGGTGCCACGCCCATCGTCCAATTTTCACACCGGTTCTCATAAAGCTCTTTCATATCACAACGGTGGTAAAATTAAATGTTTTTTTCGTTTTTAGTTACTGATTTACGTATAGCGCTTTTAGTAGTTTTCAACAATACCGTTATAAGGGGAGTGAACTTGGTTTTCATCGGATTTCGTCCATTAATACAATATTGGTAATATTCGTGCTGAGCAACTTTGGTTGTTGTAGCTTAAGAAGTTTAGGAGATATATATAGTACATTAAACTTTTCCCAAAGGTGCCCCTGGCTACTGCAATCCCCTGTGCCAAATATGAGTTTTATATCTTTTCGGTTAATGGCGATTGTTGGCGTGGCAGTTGTCTAATTACGCCCATCTATGAACTCGATTTTTTTCTTGTACTTAGGTACCTGCATACCAAGTTTCATCAAGATATCTCAATTTTTATTCAAGTTACAGGTTGCACGGTCGGACGCAGAGACAGACAGACACTTAACCGGATTTCAACTGTTCTCGTCACCGTGATCATTTATACACATACATATACCCTATATTTATCTCGTTTAGTTTT